TTTGCCATGAAGTGATGGGACCAGATGCCATGATCTTGGTTTTTTGGATGTTGGTTTTAAGCCAGCTCTTTCACTCTCCTCTTTCACCCTCATCAAGAGGCTCTTTAGTTCTTCTTCACTTTCTGCCATTAGAGTGTTATATATGTGCCATTAAAGTGTTATCATCTACATATCTGAGGTTGTTGATATTTCTTCCAGCAATCTTGATTCTAGCCTGGGATTCATCTAGCCTGGAATTTCATATGATGTACTCTGCATAGAAGTTAAGTAAACAGGGTGACAGTGTAAAGCCTTGTCATACTCCTTTCTCAAATTTGAGTCAGTCTGTTGTTCCAGGTCTAGTTCTAACTGTTGCTTCTTGACCTACACACAGGTTTTCTCAGGAGATAGTTATTGACTGTGCTAATTTCTATCACTGCATATTAGGACTAAGGCCACAGATTTTAAAGCATAAAGATTTCCTTAAAATCTAAATGGTGAGAAATATCAGGAAATAATATTTAATCAAGTAAATTGGCACTTCTCAAGGCAGGAGGAGGCCTCCGAGGAGACTTTTGTGAGCATCTGGACACATTTTTGACTCATGGCTGGGAGGGATTGCACTGGTATCTAGTGAGTACAGGCCAGGATGCTGCTGTGCCCCCTACAGTGCACAGGACAGCCTCCCAACAGAGATTGAACCAACTCAAAATGTCAACATTGCTGAGACTGAGCAACCCTGAAGTAAACCTCTGCAGAGAGAATTGTGGCCCTGGGGAGTGTTAATTTCTGGATGGCCCAGGTCTCTGGGGATGAGGTTTTTTTGTTGTTGTTGTTTTAATTTGTTGACAGCCTGCAGTAAACTGAAAGGGCAACTGCAGGAGAGAGCTTTCTTAAGTGCTGCCACCCTTGGGGCCACAGTTCCTGCTGTGGAATGGGAGGGAAGGTAGGCTTGGGTCAGGAGAGGCTGACAGGAGAAGAGGGAGATAAGGAAAACAACTTGGGCAATAAAAGGGTAGGCTTAGCATAATAGTAAAACTAGAAAAATGGGCAGGAGTGGGGAAAAGTAGAAATTAATGACTCCTAGGCACAGCGGATAAGAATCTGCCTGCCAGTGCAGGAGACTCAGGTTCAATTCCTCGCCTGGGAGACTCCCACATACTGCAGAGCAGCTAAGCCTGTGTGCCACAACTCCTGAGCCTATGCTCTGGAGCCCTGGAACTGCAGCTTCTGAGCCTGTGTGCTTTAGTGCTTGTGCTCCACAACAAGAGAAGCCACTGCAATGAGAAGCTCCTGCTTCGCTGCAGCTAGGGAAACCCCACACAAAGCAGTGAAGACCCAGCACAGCCAAAATAAATAAGTAAATTTAGAAAAAGTTAATGACACCTAAAGTACAAGCGGCAGAATAAAAAATAAACAAGTGAGACTACATCAAACTGAAAAACCTCTGCACAGCAAAAAAAAACCCATCAACAAAGTGAAGAGACAACCTATGGAATGGAAAAAAATGTTTGCATACCATGCATCTGATAAAGGGTTGATACCTAATATATAGAAAGAACACATACAACTCAGTAGCAAGAAACCAAATAACCAAGTTAAAAAATGGGCAAAGGACCTGAATAGACATTTCTCCAAATATGATATGCAAAAGGCCAGAAGATACATAAAAGGATGTTTAGCATCACAAGTCATTAGGAAAATGCAAATTAAAACCATAATGAGATATCACCTCACTTCTATTAAAATGGCCGTCATGAAAAAGAACAAGAGTTGAATGCTGGCATAGATGTGGAGAAAAGGGTACCCTTGTGCACTGTTGGTGGGACTGTAAATTGATACGGCTACTATGGAAAACAGTGTAAAGATTCTTCAAAAAGGACTAGCAACAGAACTATCATGTGCTCCAGCAATTCCACTTCTAGGACTATATCCAAGGGACACAAACTCAAAAAGGTATCTGCACCCCCATGTTCATAGCGTTATTTATAATAGCCAAGACAAGGAAACAATCTAAGTGTCTATTGATAGATGAGTAAATAAAGAAATGTATGTATATTGTGCACACACACACACACACATATATATAAAATGGAATATTGTTCAGCCATAAAAATGAAATCCTACCATTTGTGACAACATGGATGGACCTTAAAGGCATTATCCTAAGTGAAATAAGATGGAAAGACAAATATGTGATCTCACTTATAAATGAAATCTAAAAACAAATAAAAAACTCTAGCTCATAGAAGAAGAGATCAGAATTCTGGTTATGATAGGTGGAGGATGGGAGGAGGGGGAATCGAAGGAAGGTGGTCAAAAGGTACAAACCTTTGGCTATAAGATAAATAAGTACTAGGCATATAAGGTACAACATAGTGACTATAGATTACAGTGATGTACAATATATAGGAGAGTTGTTAAGAGTGTTAATCCTAAGAGTTCTCATCACAAGGAAAAAATTTTTTTCTTTTTGTCATTTATGAGAAGATGGACATTAGCTGAACTTGTAATTGTTTCACAATATATGCAAATTAAACATGCTGTACACAAACTTAGGCAGTGATGTGTGCCAGTTACTTCTCAGTAGAACTGGAAAAATGCATATAAATTCCAGCAAAATGTTAAATTTAAAAAGTAAATGAGTTGAGATTGAAAATAAAAGATGAAAGTGAAAAAAATATGAAAGTGAGTGAGATTAATCATTAAGAACATAAAAGTAGAAATCTGAATGAAAACAGTAGAAGGCCTTCTACTGAAATTTGAGATGAAATATGTGAAAAGTAGAGAGGATTAAAGATTGAAAGCAGGAATCAAGAATTTAAAAGGTCAACACAAGGCATTGTATCAAATGAGGAGGAAATAGGGGTCAGCATGAACCCAGAATGCTTGGATGGGGAAGTGGGAAAGGGATGAGGCACCAACTGTTGCTGGTAAGAAGGGGAATTGAACAAAGTTGGGGTGGGGCCAGCCAGCTGGCTCAGTGGAAAGTCCCCAGTATCAGCAGTGTTGTTAGTAGTCTGAACAGACCCAGAGGGCGGAGAGCGCTGAGTTGGCACCTCCAGATACCAGCAGCCTGATAGGCCATCTCCTGGGGAGTGGGGAGGGGCATACTGTCAGCAGTGGCTCACTAACCTTTATCCTGAAAGCAAAAGAAATTAGTGGCAGTATTGCCTGGAAATTAATACCTTTCAAGTATTCTACTTAATGCTTTGGGGTGTAGTCATTATTTTTAAACCAGTTTAAGTAATAACCATTTCTTTTTTAAAAAAATAGCTTCCAGCTCTTTGTTTGCTTCTGAAACATGGGAATTTTCTTTTGTGTGTGTGTGTGTGTGACTCCAGGCATAAATTTCAACAGACCTTTGAGGTTTTAACTAGCACTATATGCTTTGTGAGTATTTCTGAGTAGCCTAGTCTTTCACATTACAGGCATTGCAAATCTCAGGAATAGGATTTCCAGGCTAAATCATGCCTGAGTAGTTAGAACAGGTCAACCACTCATTTACTTTTTGCCTGTCTTCTGTCCCTTCATGCAGGCAGAAACTATTCTTGAGCATTTTTTATGTGTTAAGCACAGTTGTAGGCATGAAGAATACAGGGTGAGACATAGCCCCATCCTGAAAGGGCTTCTAGTTTGGGAGGGAGAACTTCGTAGACATAAATAAATGGATAAATAAGAAAAGCAATAAACCTCCATGCTCTTAGGCAATTGTACAGAAAGCAAAGCAAGTGTAGAACATTCTAGGCAGAGGAACCAGCATGAATGAACCCATAAAACTGGAAAACAGCATGGGAAGGAGTCCAAGTTTTATGGGAAAAGGCAGAGTGACTGATGAAGTTAAGAAGGTGGTTGGGGTCAGATCATAAATGGGCCTCTTAGACTCACATAAAAGTCCTAGGTAATAAATACCAAAGGATCTCAAATACGGGTAGTACTCAGGTTTGCAGTTTAGAAAGATCATTCTTTTGCAGTGCGGTGGTTTTGAGTCATCAGAGGGCCAGGTGAACAGTTAGAATTAAGCTGTTGAAACAATCCAGGAAAGAAACAAGGGCCCAAGGGGAGAAGAAAAGAGGAGAGAGTAAATTAAGTTCTTTTAACAGGCAGAATTAACAGGACTTAATAACCAATAGGATGGGGGGTGGTGGAGATGACCTTAGAGCTTCTGATTGGGTTGTCTAGTTGGAGGGTGGCACCATTCCTGAGAGAAAAAGTAGCTGAAGAGGGGGTATTTCTGGTGGAAAGATTCAAGATGGTCAAGTGCTGTGTATTAATTTTTTTAATGTATTATTTTTTAAAACTTTTCTTGATTCTACAGCACACATTCACCTATCAGGCCTCATAGAGACTTGGAGGCACAATCAAGATCCTGATGAGCTGGTTTTGGGTGTGTTTGGTGGTGGGAGCTTGTGTCCCATCCAGGTGGAAATGTCCAGAAGTAATAGGATAAGTGAGTTGGGAGCTCAGAAGAAAACTCTGGCCGGGAATTGCATGTCTGGGAGTCACTGGCTTTGTGTTGAAGCCATGGGCATGAGTGACCCGGTCAGGGAGAGCAGGGCACAGAAAGAGTGTGAGTTTGGGAACAGAGATTGGGGGAGAGCAGCTCTGGGTAGGAATGGAAAGCGAGAGCTGCTGAACATTCCATTCTTAGAATTACAGAAAGGTTCTTCACTCTGTTCAATGAATCAATTGGTGAGATCATTAAAAACTCCTTCCCCTATTATTGGTGTGTGCGTGTGTGTGTGTGTGGTGTGTCATTTATTTTACTTACAAGGCTAAGTAGAAAACTCAGGAACTACTACTGTCTTTTGGAAATGAAGATAAAGATGACTTGGAATTTTGAGTCCATGAGAACATGTTTTTTAGGTTCTGACTTCCATAAAACTTCAAGAATGCATTTATTTCCCATAATGCACAATAAGCCTTTTGGAGCAGAAGTGGCTGAAGTTGCAAGTGTGCCCAAGTTACACACCTTCAGTTTGGAGAATTGGGAGAAGGCTTAAATTACTTCTGTGTTTCAGGTAATTCAGAGGTTCGTGGGGCCGGCCAGCCTGAGCCTGCTCACCTTCAAGGTCTATGCATCATCAAAAAAGGACTCACCTCACAAAGATACTGTGAAGGTTAATGAGGTAATATGTTGTGATATATTTTGAATATCTGATAGAGTTACTATGGGAAGGATACAAATTGACTATCAGGAAGCTATAACAATTTGGAAGATGTTTAAAAGGAGGAAATATATTTCCTTATAGTTTGTTTTTATATATGGGACGCTGCTACACTATGGCTTTTTCAACTTTAATTAATGGTACTTAGCTAAGGGCATAATTAAGGAATATTTCTTAGATTTTTACTGGGGAAACTGCTCTATCCCAGTAGATTGTAAGCACAAGTCACTTCTAAGTGATCTTCCTGCTTCTAGACTGCTTATTAAGCCAGGAACACATTCACATTTTTCCTTCGCCTAAGCAATTAAAGACCAGGGCTCATCCTGCTTCTTGGCTGGATTAGAGGCTTATAAGTAGATGCTTAATAAATACTGAATATATAAAACGAGAAATCATCTCTCCATTGTTTACATTCCTTTTGGTCTCTGCTTCCCACTGATTATTTTGGCTATTTCGTTTCTTTTGAAACTAAAATACTCTGTGTAAAGTATCATAAAGATCTACCTTCAGTCATGATCAGGGTTACTTGAATGGTGTTTACATAAAGCTGAATAGCTTATTTTTTTGCGCTTTACTCTCTTCTTCTCAGGCCTTGGGGCAGTGGCATCTTTGAGGGTGAAGAAGGCAGCCCATGGTGGCTCTGAAACATTTCTTCTCTGCCTGGGGGACAAACCTGCTCTCCTGCTTTCGTTAGCATTAGACTGATCATTAGAAGATGACTAGGCTAGGTTAGACTAGAACTAAGTCTAGACTGACTCTTCAGTTACTCTCAGGCTTTTTTTCCCTATCCCACCTCCCACCCACCCTTTAGAGTAATAGAATCCTTTTTTCAAACTAAATCTAAGGTGAAATAACAAATACCAGTATATAAAATGGGTGAAGAGGGCTGCTTTGTCTGCTGAGTAGGATCGGAGGAGGCTACAACACCTCATAAGAGCCCTGCTCTCTTGGCCTAGGCCTTATTAAGAAAGTAAGTATGGTAGAAAGATGGTCTAAAGCAAGGTTCAGGGTGCACGTAATCCTTAGTCACTGTAGTTCATGAATTACTAGAAATATGATGCTTGTAAATTTGACAGTTGATTGTTATTTCATTGCTGTATACCCTTCATTTTTTTCTGTTTTGTTTTTCAATTTTTGCAGCTTTCACTCTACTCCGTTCCTGAGGATCAGTCTAAATATGTGGAAGAACCAAGGACCCAACTTGAAGAAAGCATCTCTCATCTCCGACATTATTGTGAACCATATACAAGTTGGTGTCAGGTACAGCTGTTCTGAAAATAGAATGAATGCATTTCTGTTTAGAGTCAGTAGTGAAAAGTCTATATTGGCTCTAAGTTTTCAGAAAAAGGCACAACAAAGGGCCCCAAGTTAAAGAGTGCCCAACTTAAAGATGTTCATTAGTGCCATCTCTGGAAGAGAGCAGAGAGCCCTGACTTCCTGGTGGCAGCTGTTGCCATAGCTGCAGAGAGAATTTCCTTCCCACTGGGCAGAGAGTGTCACATTGCCTAGAGAGCAGAGGCCCATGGTACTTACCTTTTTTTTTGGCCAGGCCTACTTGGCTTGCAGGATCTTAGTTCTCCAACCAGAGCTTAAACCCCAGCCACAGTCGTGAAAGCTCTGAGTCCTAACCGCTGGACCACCAGGGAATTCCCCCATGGTACCTATCTTGTTGAAACCATTATTGTCCACCAGGGAGGATACTGGGACTGCAAACATTTATATATATTAAAGTTAGGAAGTTTCTCTCCTCTCAGAGATTCTACAAGTCAGTACCACTTTAAGCAGGATGGGTACAGAGCATTTCAAATGCAATATTAAGAGAGTAGATAACTAAAAGTGGGTGGAATTACATGTTTGAGTACTGAAGTGTTTCCTCTAGTGATCAAAGATCTGCATCTACAGATTGACTTGTACTGCTCAGGTTTTAGATCAGACATATGTCATTATGTTCATGAAAGCACATCTGCAGCTTTTAACATTGGAAACTGAAGTTTACAGTCTACAGAATGTTTTTGTTGACTTTGATCTATATATTTGCCAAACTTGATTTTGAAAATTCATGACAAAGTAACAGAATGTAGATGTGTGTGCTGTGGTCTAGATTTACTTTGCTTGAGATTTATAAACTCAATTTTCATCCAAATCTTTTAAAATTTAAAATTTTAAATTTCCACTGTCTGTGCCAGTGCTGAACTTTTGTTCACCAATTTAGAAAAAAAATGGTAAACATAGACCCTGTCAACAAGATAAATTAGGCCATTATACTAGAGTATCATAACCATATTATAGAGTTATGAAATACCTAAAGACTTTACACATAATGTGCTGTAACACATTTAGAGTTTATTCTCTTGTTCTAGAAGATTTTTAAACCATCTGCTGGTGGTTAAGATAAGGTCAGAACATTTGCAAATATTTTTGTACCATGTAGGCATGACTGCATGACTACTATTATTTCTCTCTTGCTCTTTTTTTTTTGTGGTTAAAAGTACTTTATCTCTTTACCTTTCAACCTAAGGATGCTTTTTGTTTTTTACTTTCTGTCTGTGCTTGATGCTTAGTGCAGCAAAATGCCTCTGAAGCTGACAGCATAGTAATCAACATGTTTATTTGTACTGCTTATGAGTAAAAAAGCTTTTTTGTGATTATACTAGTTTTATTTTCCTGTAGATTGAACTCTTCATGAATGAAAATACTTTTCATTCCTGACTCCATTTTCAGACCTACAAGTTCTAGTCCCTTTCTTTAAGAACTAATTTAATTTTCTTAAATTAGAACTGATTCTAATTCTTAAGAACTGATTTAGTTTTTCTTTCTAGTTAACAGATTATGCTAGCAGAAGAAGTGGCAGTCAGTCCAGACATTGGTCTGTAGCTTTTCTTTTTTTAAAATAAACAAATCATTTTTCAAGTGGCAGCTGGTTCTGATATCTTCTAATATCCACATATCTCTTTTTCCATTTTTTACTGTAGATTTCTTGAAGGTGAATACCTTCTAGCCTAGTTCCTTCTTTTCTTTAGGATCATCTGATGTTCATGTAAAAAGTCTTTTTATTGTTATTAGGAGAATGTTAATACTTCATTTGCTCAGGATTGGGGTACGTGTCTCCAAATCTGGATATAGACTCCTTTGTCACATTCAATTGGGTCATTTCTGCTTCAAATGGGCAGTTTTCAGATACAAGCTCTAAAATCATGGCAAATCAGGAAATAGACTTAATATGAAAGATTTAATCTCACAGGGAAAGGATTTCCACTTTAATTATCGAGGGGACTGAGTGTTTTTCATCCTCTTCAGTTTCAGTAGAAGAATAAAAAGGCCGGGTTGTTGAAACCACTCTACTTGAAATCTTTGCTTCCTGTGGCAATAATAAGCCATTCTGCTAAGCAATTTGTGGTGAACAGGAAATTACAAAAGAAAAAAAACAACACAAAACCCCTCAGATAGACAGTAAATCCCTTTGTTCAAAAAGTGCTAATAACATGATAATTTATTCAGTAAAGATAAATACATATTTATTGTTACTTTCTAAACAACAAAGTCTATTCATTCTTTTTTTTAATCTTTTTAGGAAAAGTACTCCCAAAATAAGCCCAAGATGCAAAGTTTGGTTCAATGGGGGTTAGGTAAGTTGATTTTTAATTAGGCACAGTCAGTTTGTTTGACATTGGATGTTTTAACTGGTATTCCGTGGATGCACTCCAGGGGATCTGTGAATTCCTTAAAATTATATGTAGAATTTTAGAGTTACTTGGTTATTTCTGGAAAGAGGATCTGTTTTTTCCATCAGATTTCAGGAAACTAGTGTCCCCATTCAGGTAAGTCTCTTCAGGATCATTAGGATTGTTGACCTAACAGGTGCAGATACACTGGATTTTCTTTTTTTAAAATCTGTTGCCAGATGCAGTGTCCTAGCTCATCTATAGGATTTCGCAATCCTAACACATGTTATAGAAGTCTAGATGCAGGAAGGAACTAGGCTAGTGTGCCTAGGAAAGGCTTTACTGCATGATTCGTGTGTTCTTACATGTTTTCATTTGTTTTTTTATCATCTTTGATTGTTTTTCACATTCACTTTCACATACACTCATAAACTGATTTCACAGTCTTATGTTCAACTAATATTAAGAAATTAATAGACATTGGTCATATTTCATTCCCTTTACTGGGCGTCTAAACCAGTCATCCTCTTCTTTCTACAAGTGTTTGTTTCCATGACAGAATAAACATGAGTACAGTTTATTTTTCTATGAAGATCATCAGAGCATTGATGTGCTGATACCCCTGAGACTACCTACCATATAAATACAGTCTTCCTTTGAAGATAGACATATTAGTGGCTTACCAGTTCTTTAAATTATTCATGTAGATTAATATCTTAATTTTAAAAACAGTTATTCAGTGCTTATTAAGTATCAGGAGCTAATCTATGTGACTTGAAAGTATTAATTGATGTAGAATCCTTATAACAACCCTGGCAATTAGGTACTTTTTTACTATCTTTTTTTCCCCTCAGGAAGCTAAAGATTTCTTGATCTTTTATCTCTCTGTGACTGAGGTGATCTCTTTGTTGTCACCTGTCATTTCCCATAGAAGTAAGCAGTATTTGCAATATGAGTCTTTTTTTTTTCTTCTTTTGGACTCAGTTACTGCAAAGGCTCTTAAGAAGAAACATTCCATTATGAGTTGCGTTGTTGTCTGCCAAGACAACCCATCCATTTCCCAGCAGTCACAGCCAAGATGTGTTAACTAGAAGCTGGATTTCAGCTTCAGTGCAGTCTTAGAGTCCCATTTCTTTGTGATCTTCCCGCTTTGGTTCCCCTCACCAAGGCATCTGGGTGTCCTGTCACCTGCTCTGTGTTCATGGCTACAGTTGAAAATAACATGCTGGTAGGCAGAAATAAAGAGAAGTAGAAAACTGCCGCAAATGACCCAGGCAAGTTAAAATCAGGTTAAAGGCAAAGTAAGTAAAAGGCCAGACAGGAATTGGTGCAAACAGCACAAACCCATTGGAGAAGGCAATGGCAACCCACTCTAGTACTCTTGTCTGGAAAATCCCATGGACGGAGAAGCCTGGTTGGCTACAGTCCATGGGGTCGCGAAGAGTCAGGCACGGTTGAGCAACTTCACCTTCACTTTTCACTTTCATGCATTGGAGAAGGAAATGGCACCTACTCCAGTGTTCTTGCCTGGAGAATCCCAGGGACGGAGGAGCCTGGTGGGCTGCCATCTATGGGGTCGCACAGAGTCGGACACGACTGAAGTGACTTAGCAGCAGCAGCAGCACAAACCCTATAGCAGTATTTAAAATGATCACCACAGTTCCCAAAGAACCCAAGAAAAGGAAAACTGGCATGTGTCTAGTCTTATCTGGAGGAGAGAATTACAGAGTATTCCAGTTAGTTCAGTTCCACTTTCATTTGTTAAGTCACCACCATGGCAGGCATTGAAGAGAGAGGCTGAGGAAGACAGTGGTCACAACCACTGAGGTGCATATAATAAAGTGTTCAATATTATCTCGAATACAGAGGCAGTCATAGACTACCATTGAAGGTACAGAGGAAGGAGGCTAGTTTAACAGAGATTGGGGAGACAGAAGCAGTCAGGGAAGGAGTTCTGAGGAGGCATCGTGCAAATGAGGTCATCAGGCATGTTCAGGCGTGGCAAATAGGCTCACGTGTTGCATTTGTTTGTATTTATCTATCAACAGTGACTATTTCCCGCATGTACTTGCACAACAAGTTTCCCTCATTGTTCAGATTTTTCATTTCTTGAGTCTGAATAATGAATTCAGATGGCAAAAGATAAGTTTTTTCCCCCTGAGTCTGATATATTTTGTTCCTGAGTTTTAGAGAGCAATCAGCAAAGCTTCAGACAGTGACACATCTGTCCAAAGATTTATCCGAGTTTATTCTGATCCTATGTTTGAATAGCGAGAGATTCCTGTATTTGTATTTCTCCCCTTATAAATTATTGATTCGGATCTGTTGCCTTCAAGAATTATGAAGATAATCTAATGTTACTGCCAGATTGTCATCAGACTAAAAGGTGTTTGAGAATTGGATACTTACTATGTGACTAGTAAATCATGTTTATCTCTCACATAAAAAGAACTTGTTGAAGCATATTAACAGCAGACTACATTATTTGAAAAGCATTTGGTACTACATATACTTTTATATATGACTTCTTGTTTTGTTCTTTTTGTTTCTTTTTATTTATTTTTAATTGAAATATACTTGGTATATGTGTTTTATTTATTAATGAGCAATTTATGGTACTGTCTTCCGGTCTGATTCTATTGTAGACAGCTACGAATATCTCCAAAATGCACCTCCTGGATTTTTTCCAAGACTTGGTGTTATTGGTTTTGCCGGAGTTGTTGGACTCGTTTTGGCTAGAGGTAGGTACAATTTTATAGTTTTTTTAAGAAAAAAATTCATAAATCAGAGATAAGATATATGTTTGGTTCTTTGTTTTCATTTATCAGTTTTTGGAATAATGAGTTGGCTTCTGCATATGGCCTTCTTGGTGTATAATTGATATGATTATTTTCTCCAGTATATTTGATTTTAAACATATATAAAAACTGTAAAAAAATAAAATAAAAAATGTGTACTTTTGATTTAAAGAAGAAGTTAGTTATCTTTCATAGGCACATTTACTTCATTTACTTGGTCAAATTCCTGTTGCTCTTCAGTACAGAGAGTGAACTTTTGTTAACCAAGACCTGTCACACATGAGAGACTGTTTGTAAATATTTCACCATTAAGATCAGGCTAATTGGTTGGAATTCTGGCAGTTTACCTCTTAGATGTTTTTGTACATATGTAGAATGGCATATGTTCAAGGTTGTGCACTGTAGTATTTTTTTGAAATATAAAAGATTAGAAAGTAAAAAAAAATCAGGCTATTAATCACAGTACAGTGATTTCATAGAGAGTTTATAATTTCTTGATGTTTTATAGCTTCAGTCAGTGATGATAAAAAAATCTTTTAAAATACTTAAAGTTAAAAGCTAACAAATATCAACTTAGAGATATTACTACACCTTACTACTGGATTACAAAGAATTTATAGGAAATTCAGGATGATAAAATACTTTACTGTAATGAGATGAATTTGTTATGAACTACTTGGAAGTTTCACTGGTTGTAAAATTCAGATTACAAAATTTTCTAAATTAGAAAGATTATGAACCCTGTAATCAGGTTCCCATAAGAGATGACTATAGAGACTAGTTTGATAACCATTTCTCAATATTAAGAACCTTTCTATACATGGCTTAACCATTCTTTTACAATATGGAAGAATGCTGTCCTGGTGCCACTCCCCGAGCATGTGGAATGAACTCCTATTGTAGTTTCTGTGTCCTCCTCCCATTTGGCGCAGAATATATAAGAATTAAAAGCAGAGTTTATTTTTGCTAATCGACTTGGGCAATAGTTGAATCAGCTTTTTGTCCCAAACTTCTTTCCTCTCCTTCTGTAAAGCTGTCCAAAAAAGCATTCCTATCTTATTTAGATAGTGTTTAGAATTTATGGAGATCCCAAGGCCAGGGTGTTGGAATGTTGACTGGCTGTCAGGGAGCCAGGAATGTGGAATCAAGTGAGATTAGCTTCCTCCTTCCCTCTCCGTGGGGAGAGCACATGGAACAGTTTTACAGCTCCCTGTGCCATGCATGCGCTCTACACTGTGTTCATCCTCCGCACATCCACTGGGCTGACCGTCCTGAGGACGACTGGGAACTGTGCTCTCCTGAGCAGATCAGCAACAGAAGGACATCTGCTGCTGTGGGGCCTTTGCCTTTGTCTTTATTTGCTTGTTTGTTTAGATGTTCCCCTTTCTTTTTCCTTTTCCTGAGAGGACTCTAGTTGTATTAAAATACTTTAAAACCTTAATTCTTTTCCAGAAAAGTACACATGCACACATACTGTACAATAGATCTTTTCCCATGGGTGCTAGGATATAAGAGCCTGAGGTAAACACCATTGGGTGGGGGTTCCTAAGCAAAATGAGTGGGAGGGTAAGTATGTTTATGGGTGGTCAGAGTGATTTGCAGGCCCCTTTAGGTAGATGCTGGCAGCAGTATGATGGGCTAAGTCTTTCCTGGTAGCATTTCTTTTCTTTCTTTTTTCAAACATTTTATTTATTTTAATATAATTTTATTTTTTTAATAAAGAAATTAAGTTTTTTTTCTTAAGTACACACAGTTGTATGAATTGCCTGTATACAAATTAACCAGGGCTTGACAACTCAATAGACAGGTTTCATTTATAATTAGGACTTTTTTTTTATAGTAAATATCTCTAAAATGCTAGGCAATTGTTTATCCTTTCAAGCATAATTTTCCCCCTCCCCATTTTGTAAAGTAATATTAATTATTATAGAGTACATTGTACTTAAAGTAGGAAAATAATCTATAATAAAAATATATATGTATTTAAGGTATACAAAGTGATGTTCTGATACATATATATGTATATGACAGGGTTGCCTGCTGTCACCCTATTTGTTTAATCTATACACTGAGCACATTATGAGAAATGCTGGTCTGGATGAGTTACAACCTGGAATCAAGATAGGTGGGAAAAACATCAACAGCCTCAGATATGCGGATAATCCCACTCTAATGGCAGAAAGCAAAGAGGAACTAAAGAACTTCTTGATAAGGGTGAAGGAGGAGAGTGAAAGAGCCAGCTTAAAACTAAATATTTAACAAAACTAAGATCTTGGCATCTGGCCCCATTACTTCATGGCAGATAGAGGTGGGGAAAGGTGGAAGTAGTGACAGATTTCCTCTTGGGCTCCAAAATCACTATGGATGGTGACTGCAGCCATGAAATCAGAAGACGGTTGCTTCTTGGCAGGAAAGCTATGACATACCTATACAGTGTGCTGAAAAGCAGAGAGATTACTCTACTGACAAAAGTCCGTATTGTCAAGGCTATGGTCCTCCCAGTGGTCATGTACAGTTGTGAGAGCTGGACTGTAAAGAAGACAGAGCATTGAAGAATTGACACCTTCGAACTGTGATGCTGGAGAAGATTCCTGAGAGTCCCTTGAATAGCAAGGAGATAAAACCAGTCAATCTTAAGGGAAATCAACCCTGAATACTTGTTGGAAGGACTGATGCTAAAGTTGAAACTCCAGTATTTTGGTCATCTGATGAGAACAGCTGACTCATTGGAAAAGTCCCTGATGCTGGAAAAGATTGAGGGCAGAAGGAGAAGAGGGTGTCAGAGGATGAGATGGCTGGATGGCATCACCAATACAATGGACATGAACTTGGGCAAATTTCAGGAGATGGTGAGGGACAGAGTGGCCTGGTGTGTTGCAGTCCATGGGGTAGCAAAGAGTCGGACATGGCTGGGCGACTGAACAACAGCAACAACATATGTGTATAAATAGTGAAATGATTACTGGAGTGGAGCTAATTAATGTATCTTTTCACATAGTTACCTTTTTTGTGATGAGAGCATCTGAAATCTCCTCTCTTAGTAAATGTCCAGGGTTCAGTATTATTAACTAGTTACCATACTGCACATTAGATCTCTAGACTTACTCATCCTACATAACTGCACCTTTGTATCCTTTGACCAATATCTCCACATTTCTCCCACCTCCCTACTCTTGATAGCCACCCTTCTAGTCTTTGCTTCTGTATATTTGACTTTTTTAGCTTCTACATATCAGTGAGATCATGTGCTGTTTTTTCTTTCTCTGTCTGGATTATTTCACTTAGCATAATGTCCTCTAGGTTCATCCATATTTTTGCACATGGTAGAATGTCCTTATTTTTAAAGGCTTAATAATATTCCATTGCAAATGTATACCACAGTTTCTTTATCCATTCCTCCACTCCAGACATTTAGTTTGTTTTCATGTGTTGACTATTGTGAATAATGCTGCATTGAACATGAAGTATTTCAGGTTACTGACTTCATTTCCTTTGGATATACACCTGGAAGAGGGATTGCTGGATCATACAGATAGGTTTCTTGGGCATTTAGCAGATAACAGTGATGAGGGTGGCCTGGACTGTGGTGATTACAAGAGGTATCTCTCTGGAAGAGAAATGAATGGATGATTATTCAGAGAAAGTAGGCCCAGCCAGGCCACTCAAGGAGGGCAGGTGGTTGTTGCCCTTTGTTGTTGCCATTTGGAGGCTCCCTCTGGCCATGCTGACAGTTACAGTCTACATCACTGGCTTCTTGGGAAGTTTGGGGGTGGAAACAGGAAGGGAAGCAGGGGATTGTACTTCCTTCCAGAACTTCTAGGACCCCTAGCTCATTGTGTGCACCAGTTGGAACTAGAAACCCAAGAGCAGCTGCCTATCAGCTTTCTCTGTGCACAGTGCTCAGTCGCTCAGTTGTGTCCAACTCTTCGCAATCCCATGGACTGTAGCCCTCCAGGCTCCTCTGTCCATGGGATTTCCCAGGAAAGAATATTGGAGTGGATTGCCATTTCCTTCTCCAGGGGATCTTCCCAACCCAGGGATCGAACCTGCGTCTCCTGCACTGGCAGGCAGATTCTGTACCACTGAGCCCTCTGGGGAGCCTCTATCAGATTCCTCTTATATATTCTTGATTATTTTCTTCTTTTGAATTATTTTACTTTGATCATTTCTAAGAGCTCTTTTCTGCTCTGTTTCACAGAGCTCATTTTTCTTTTAATGCAGTAGCTTCTTAAATTTATTGATGATACCTAAGAACAAGTTTAATTTAAGTTCTTCTCTTTCCTTTGGGGTCATTTTTCTGTCTTTCTTGTCTTGATGTTCTCTTTTATGTTGTGAGCTTTCTTTACCTTTCCTCGGTTGTACAGTCGTATTTCAGAGCAAGGCGATTGGAACTCTAATAAGAACTTTTTACACATAAATGGGACTTGCTGGGAAGCAGGTTCTCTCTCTGGGTTAGCTGAGAGGGAACTGACCTTAAAGGAGAGTGGTGACAATGCCCACCTGAGTGAGGCTGGACTTTCTCCACTAACATGCACATGCTGTTACACCAGCTGTCTTGGCTTTCAGCAGCAAATCCATGGCATTTCTTTAGAGGTACCTTGTGCCCCTTTTAAGATTTTGTCTGGAGAGATGCCCTGACCACAGCATTTTGGCACTGGCATGGTGTGGAGGAGTCTTACACAGTGTTAGATGTACAAGGCAAACTGTGATGATAGAGATAATAAATCCTCTGATGGTGTCCACAACCTTTTATTTAATAGGTTCAAAGATAAAGAAGCTTGTGTATCCACCTGGTTTCATGGGATTTGCTGCCTCTCTTTATTATCCACAGCATGCCATTGTATTTGTCCAGGTAGGTTATATCAGTAAGCTTTCATGCTCATGTATGTATGGGTTTACTGCTTCATTTAATTTTATCTTGCAGACTTTATAACACCAGAGTAAAATTTCTTTGCACATGTAGATTTAAATGGTTTTGCAGCAAATTTAAATGGTTTTCTCCACTGTATACCTCAGTTCTGGCCCTCCTTTCAATGTCAGTATTCAGAGAAGGCAAGCTAATTTGAATATTAATAAAAGAAAATTTAATATACTTTTTTGCATAATTACATGGAAGCCCAGAGACTCAAATTCCAGAGTTGGTGTTTACAGATCAGTTTGGGTGTACCTGGTCATAGCCTGCCCTCCTTGGTGTTGTAGGCATGGGCCTTGTGCTCTGGCCTTCTGCCTTCCCCTTCGTCTGGTGCCGGCCTCACTATCCTTGCCAGGGGCTTCAGGGAGTGCAGTTCGCTCTGTTGGGAATGCCCTTTTTAGGACTGTCAGTTGGCTGCTCCTTTCTTACCCTTGAGGCCTCAGCTTGATGGCATCCTGGCAGGTAGAACACAGTGGCCGAGACATGAGTACAGCTGATGCCTTCGTCAGCTCAAGCTGCCATGACAAAATACCACAGCCTGTGAGGCTTAAATAATAGAAATTTATTTTCTCACAGTTCTGAAGGCTGGAAGCCCAAGAGCAAGGAGTCAGCAGGGTTGGTTTCTCCTGAGGCCTCTCTCCTTGACTTGCAGATGGCCACCTTCTCCATGTCCTCGCGTAGCCTTGTCACTGTATGCACACTTCCCTGATGTGTCATCCTTGTCTTATAATGACACCAGTGGATTAGAGCTCCACCCTTATGACTTCACTTGACCTTAATTACCTCTTTAAAGGCCCTTTCTCCAAACAGTCACATTGTGGGTTAGGGCTTCAACACATGAGTTTTGGGGGACACAGTTCAGTCCATAACAGCTAGACCAGCAGTTCTCAGACCTGGATCAGTGGGATCAGGATTACCTGGGAACTTATTAGAAATGCAAGTTTTCAGGCCCCAACCCAGACCTATTGACTCAGACCCTGAGAGTTAGGGCCAGCAGTCTGTGTTTTTAGCAGGCTCTCTGTGGGATTTTTGCAAGCCCGTAATATTTGAGAACCACTGATAAAGACGTTAGACTCCCTCAGGGCAGTGGTGTCTGGACTTGGAGGGACTGTACACATAGAATCCCTTGGAAAACTGGCAAGAACGAGGCCGACTTAAAGTTTTGAGATCCTACGTAGCTTCTGGAGATGGGGATTCATTTGTTAGAACTGCCATATCACACTGAAACTGGTTTCTAGGAAGAAGAGCAGTGCCATCACCAGAATTAGTCCTTGAAGCTCTGAGCCAATCCGACCAGACACTGTGCCCCCTGGAGTCCTTGCAATATCATTAAGTCTAGATTCCTGGATGGTGCTCCAGTTGTAGGTGGGAGCCCAGTGGATCCAGCTGTGGGAAATTGTTGGCTTTGGTGGCAAATACCAGTACGATCTTTCTAACATGGGTTTGGCGTTGTTTATAGCAGTCCTGGAGGCAGTTACTGATCCTCTGCCTGCTTCAGTCCTAACTCTGTAACAGTGAATCATGTCTGCCTGCTCTAGATCACAAAAATAATCAAACATCATCTTAGTCTGTTATGGTTTAAATGGTAAATTGGCTGGGGGTTGAGAAGCATATGTAGTAACCCTCTGAGTAGAGGTCTTTTTTTTTTTTTATCTTCCATGCCACAGCATGCATTGCAAAAGAATTTTTTGTATTCACAACCAAGATAGTAGCATACAAATCTGAGTTGTATTTTAATTTATTTTTAAAGGCAGTGGGAAGGAGTTTTGTCTTTTTTTTTTGTACCTAGAGTGAGCCAGAACAAAGCAATTAACTATTTTCACTAGATATAAAACATTAGTGATCTGTTTGGGATGATGAAAAAGTTCTGAAAATAGTGGTGGTGATGGTTACATAACATTGTGAATGTAATTACCACTGAATTGTACACCTAGAAGTGGTTAAAATGGTAAATTTTATATTATGTGTATTTTGCACAATAAAACAAAACAAACATCAGTGATCGAAAGAGAATTAGTTCCTATTTCACAGTTTCTTTTCTACTTCCTTTTTTTTTCCTCCTAATGAATGCCATGACCTTGGACAAACCACTTAATCACTTATGTTTTCTTTTCTGTTCAGTAGTGTCTGGAGAATACTATTGTCAGAAAACTCTGAAAGTGATGGGCGAATATTATTTTTCTCTCAGAAATTTAAAACACTGAGAACAGTGCCATACTGATAGTAAATGCTTGTTACATCTACCAATGAGTCTGAGAATCATATCATACCATATTTTAAGAACAGTTGGCACAACTGGAAGAATATAACTTGTAAGAAACCAGTATGTTGCAGCCAAATGCTGGATTTACTAGCATTGTGACCTTGGACGAGTCATTTGGCCTCTGAATATTTCCTAATAATCTCTGCCTACTTACCATATAGCATTGTTATATAGAATAGAGGTAAATCATGTGAATGTGCTTGGTAAAGTAAAATGCTATATAGAGACAAATGATAATAAAAATTCAGAAGAGAATAATAACTGCTTTCAGAAAATCAAAGTAGTTTCATGTAGAAGACAAATCAATATTGTCATAAGTAGGACCAATGAATGCAAATTATTGGAAGTTTCTTTTTAAGAAAGCTCAATATTTTTTATAAAAGTTTCCAGTAATTGAAGTCAGCAGGCCAAAGGTGGATCAGCACCTTTTAAGGTAGGGAGCTCACTTACTCCAAAATATTCTCTGACCCTGCACCCTACCTTTCTGCATGTTGTAGAAAGGATTTTGGAGCAGAAAGCAAAAGCCCTATAGAAACTCAAAGACTTTTATGTTTTGAGGGATCTGGGAAGACTGACCACCTTTACTGGGCTCACTTTTTTTTTACCTAGCCCCTAAAATGAATGAATGATTTTCGTCTTGAGTTTCAGACTTGGTTGGCTGTTACGTGCTAGATGTGATAGGTAGAAGCCTTCTTTCTTATCTGATTTTTCAGGAATTTCTCATATCAGCATTTTTTTCCCACATTTTTCCCTTGAAATTGTGAAAGGTTGAAATATACACCTATAATTTATGGCACATTATTTTAAATAGTAGCTATACCTGGGCAAACTATTTTTTCTTCTTACCCTATCATTCTTGCTTTTATTTGGTTACATTGCATAGTTTTTTTTTTCCATTGTATAATTTTAATGTGTATGTATATTTTATTTCAAGGTCAGTGGAGAGAAATTGTATGACTGGGGTTTACGAGGCTACATTGTCATAGAAGATTTGTGGAAGGAGAACTTTCAAAAGGTGAGAAAGATCTTTTTAATTATCTTCCTTTCAGTTTAAATGTGTGGCTTCTCTCAGGTTTTATAAAATTATTGATAGCCCTGTTGCTTGCTCCTGCTTTTTGTGTTTGTATTTCCTTATGCTTGTAGCTCAGATTCTCGGGTGGCCTTTATTAGAGGAGCAATAGAACTTCTATACATTTGATTGTTTTTAGCAGGGCTGAATATAAGTGGGGATCATAGAATGCATTCCACTTCAGTCTTAGACCATAATTTCCGCTCTATTGTATTTATAATTTGTTCAGAGTGTTGCGTATTATCTGAAAGTTTTATCAAAACTAGAATAGATGGAAATAGGGTATGTTCCCAGAAGAAGAGGAATAGCTGAGACTCCTCCTGTTGCTGTTTTGCTCATCATGGGCCCCATTCTTTGCTTTATCGGTACTGTATCTGTTCATCCCCTAGCCTCTGGGCCAAGTTAAGGGCACCAGTTACAGGCCACTTTACTGACTTGTGGGCGAGCAGCAGAGGGGAAGAGGTTGTGGAATTAAAGGACATGCCATTTTTTGTCTCTTCTCACAGCCACTTAGCTGATTAAATGTTGCCCATCTTTGCTGGAACATTCTCCTCTGATAAGGAAGAGTAAGTGTAGAACAAGGCATCATGTCTTCTCTGAACACTCAGAGGCACAGCTCAATGAGGAAGAATTAGGGTTCTTATTATTAACATACCTTATCTTAGAACACTTGATTCTGGTCATCTCAAATCAAAGTACTCTTTTAAAAAATATAAATACCTGCCTCAAAATTAAAGTTCAGGATTTCGGACTGGAACTTGAAAGTAACATTGTAGAATAAATTATAAGCCCTTCTCATTAGTTACATAAATAGTCTTCCAGTGAAATCTTTTTTTTTTCCTTCCAGTGAAATCTTAAGACTAGGTTTTATACTGGTGATTTCTAAAGGAATTAACCTCTATTGAGCCTGTTTAAAACCAGCTAGCTCTTGAGTAGGAAGTTGTATATTAATATCAAGTGCCCTCTGGCAATCCATTTTAAAGAATAAACACTCATAGTTTTATTTTCATTTCTCTGACATTTTCTTTGGAAGCTCTCTTTCCTGTTTAAAAAATTCCTTAAGTCCACGCTGAGTTGAATATGAGAAAGGAAGTAGAAATGTGGCAAATGAAACTCCTCCTCAGTTCTGCATGCTCTGTGTGGTGTCAGTACAGAGCTGATGCACACAAAAGCCACGGCGGAGGGCTCCCCTGGGAGTCTGAGTGTTCACTGTGGTGTCAGGCAGACGCATGCTCACCAACTGGACTGTGGTTGGAATGCAAGCTGAACAGGCCAGCATTTTACAGCTGTTTGAAAACGTTGGATATGGGGAGTGAGGTAGTAACGATGCCTAGTTAGCCAGAGGTTGGTCTATATATCTTCTCTTGTCTCCTGTCTGTGCCCTTGCCCTCTTGCGCATCACTGAGAGTCCTACTCATTCACTCTCAAAGCACAGTTCTCCTGCCAGCTATCTGTTGTGACCAGAAGGTAATAAAATGGGTATTGACAACTTAAACATTTAGCACAAGTTTTAAGTGAAAAATATCAGAAGGCCCTTTTAATTCAAGATTTGATGTACTTAGATTTGGGGAATTATTTGATAGTGAAATGCTTTTGTTTTTTGTTGATTTCCCTGCGCCCCCCCTCCTTGTTGGACTTTGTGGGTTTCAGTATTTTTTGTTTATTTTTTCTTTACTAATGACAGTAAAGATTTAAGCTACCCTGGAACAGGAATCTTTTGGAGCTCAGGAACTCTGAAGGGAATTGGGGAACACTTCATGGATTTTTGTTTGTTTCTTAGCATGTTTAGAAATTGGTTTTCAGGTCAGGCTTTAATTACCAGTCTCAAATTCAGTGCAGTCTGATTCATAATTGTATACAATCATGTAACAGATATACATACTTTTGGTTGCAAATAGTCAAAAGAAATTTGTGGCCATTGTATTTTTTTTTCCATTTATTTTTATTAGTTGGAGGCTAATTACTTTACATCATTGCAGTGGTTTTTGTCATACATTGAAATGAACTAGCCATGGATTTACATGTATTCCCCATCCCGGTCCCCCCTCCCACCTCCCTCTCCACCCGATCCCTCTGGGTCTTCCCAGTGCACCAGGCCCGAGCACTTGTCTCATGCATCCAACCTGGGCTGGTGATCTGTTTCACCCTAGATAATATACATGTTTCAATGCTGTTCTCTTGAAACATCCCACCCTCGCCTTCTCCCAGAGTCCACAAGTCTGTTCTATACATCTGAGTCTCTTTTTCTGTTTTGCATATAGGATTATTGTTACCATCTTTCTAAATTCCATATATATGTGTTAGTATACTGTAATGGTCTTTATCTTTCTGGCTTACTTCGCTCTGTATAATGGGCTCCAGTTTCATCCATCTCATTAGAACTGATTCAAATGAATTCTTTTTAATGGCTGAGTAATATTCCATGGTGTATATGTACCACAGCTTCCTCATCCATTCATCTGCTGATGGGCATCTAGGTTGCTTCCATGTCCTGGCTATTATAAACAGTGCTGCAATGAACATTGGGGTGCACGTGTCTCTTTCAGATCTGGTTTCCTCAGTGTATATGCCCAGAAGTGGGATTGCTGGGTCATATGGCAGTTCTATTTCCAGCTTTTTAAGAAATCTCCACACTGTTTTCCATAGTGGCTGTACTAATTTGCATTCCCACCAACAGTGTAAGAGGGTTCCCTTTTCTCCACACCCTCTCCAGCATTTATTGCTTGTAGACTTTTGGATAGCAGCCATCCTGACTGGCGTGTAATGGTACCTCATTGTGGTTTTGATTTGCATTTCTCTGATAATGAGTGATGTTGAGCATCTTTTCATGTGTCTTTTTGCCATCTGTATGTCTTCCTTGGAGAAATGTCTGTTTAGTTCTTTGGCCCATTTTTTGATTGGGTCATTTATTTTTCTGGAGTTGAGCTGGAGGAGTTGCTTGTATATTTTTGAGATTAATCCTTTGTCTGTTGCTTCGTTTGCTATTCTTTTCTCCCAATCTGAGGGCTGTCTTTTCACCTTGCTTATAGTTTCCTTTGTTGTGCAAAAGCTTTTAAGTTTCATTAGGTCCCATTTGTTTATTTTTGCTTTTGTTTCTAAAATTCTGGGATGTGGGTCATAGAGGATCCTGCTGTGATTTATGTCGGAGAGTGTTTTGCCTATGTTCTCCTCTAGGAGTTTTATAGTTTCTGGTCTTACATTTAGATCTTTAATCCATTTTGAGTTTATTTTTGTGTATGGTGTTAGAAAGTGATCTAGTTTCATTCTTTTACAGGTGGTTGACCAGTTTTCCCAGCACCACTTGTTAAAGAGGTTGTCCTTTTTCCATTGTATATCCTTGCCTCCTTTGTTGAAGATAAGGTGACCATAGGTTCGTGGATTTATCTCTGGGCTTTCTATTCTGTTCCATTGATCTATATTTCTGTCTTTGTGCCAGTACCATACTGTCTTGATGACTGTGGCTTTGTAGTATAGTCTGAAGTCAGGCAGGTTGATTCCTCCAGTTCCATTCTTCTTTCTCAAGGTTACTTTGGCTATTCGAGGTTTTTTGTATTTCGATACAAATTGTGACATTATTTGTTCTAGTTCTGTGAAAAATACCGTTGGTAGTTTGATAGGGATTGCATTGAATCTATAGATTGCTTTAGGTAGTATAGCCATTTTGACAATATTGATTCTTCCAATCCATGAACACGGTATATTTCTCCATCTATTTGTGTCCTCTTTGATTTCTTTCATCAGTGTTTTATAGTTTTCTATGTATAGGTCTTTTGTTTCTTTAGGTAGATATACTCCCAAGTATTTTATTCTTTTTGTTGCAATGGTGAATGGTATTGTTTCCTTAATTTCTCTTTCTGTTTTCTCCTTGTTAGTGTATAGGAATGCAAGAGATTTCTGTGTGTTAATTTTATATCCTGCAACTTTACTGTATTCGTTGATTAGCTCTAGTAATTTTCTAGTAGAGTCTTTAGGGTTTTCTATGTAGAGGATCATGTCATCTGCAAACAGAGTTTCACTTCTTCTTTTCCTATCTGGATTCCTTTTACTTCTTTTTCTGCCCTGATTGCTATAGTCAACACTTCCAAAACTATGTTGAATAGTAGTGGTGAGAGTGGGCACCCTTGTCTTGTTCCTGATTTCAGCGGAAATGCTTTCAAATTTTCACCATTGAGGGTGATGCTTGCTGTGGGTTTGTCATATATAGCTTTTATTATGTTGAGGTATGTTCCTTCTATTCCTGCTTTCTGGAGAGTTTTAATCATAAATGGGTGTTGAATTTTGTCAAAGGCTTTTTCTGCATCTATTGAGATAATCATATGGTTTTTATCTTTCAATTTGTTAATGTGGTGTATTACATTGATTGATTTGTGGCTATTAAAGAATCCTTGCATTCCTGGGATAAAGCCCACTTGGTCATGGTGTATGATTTTTTTAATATGTTGTTGGATTCTGTTTGCTAGAATTTTGTTAAGGATTTTTGCATCTATGTTCATCAGTGATATTGGCCTGTAGTTTTCTTTTTTTGTGGCATCTTTGTCTGGTTTTGGAATTAGGGTGATCGTGGCCTCATAGAATGAGTTTGGAAGTTTACCTTCTTCTGCAAGTTTCTGGAAGAGTTTGAGTAAGATAGGTGTTAGCTCTTCTCTAAATTTTTGGTAGAATTCAGCTGTGAAGCCATCTGGTCCTGGGCTTTTGTTTGCTGGAAGATTTCTGATTACAGTTTCTATTTCCTTGCTTGTGATGGGTCTGTTAAGATCTTCTATTTCTTCCTGGTTCAGTTTTGGAAAGTTATACTTCTCTAAGAACTTGTCCATTTCTTCCAAGTTGTCCATTTTATTGGCAAAGAGCTGCTGGTAGTAGTCTCTTATGATCCTTTGTATTTCAGTGTTGTCTGTTGTGATCTCTCCATTTTCGTTTCTGATTTTGTTAATTTGGTTCTTCTCCCT